TGTGGACAAAATATAAAATGATAGCTCATTCGATGTGTCATGGAAAATGTTAAAAAAAGGTGAAGTTAGGTATTCTAACAATGAGAAAAATCTGTTTACATGATTTGGAGAAATACATTTTTGACCAGATAAAATGGAGATAAATGTAATCCAAAAAAGTACAGTAGTTAAATGTAGAAATTTCACAGGAGTGCCGAAACGGCGCTCAGCAACTGTTTTCTTTCGTATGGCGCCAAAATCTTCTTTAAAAATTGGCACAACAGCTATTTCCCATTTATTGTTAGAGTCAGTTTGGGCGGTTTGTGTATGCCTTTTCCTATTATTATGCCAAGCTATTTGCTCGCTCAAATCAATGGTCATTGAATGATTTTTACAAACGATCAATAAATATTTCCAAAAAATATTTTTGTTTTTTAATTTTAGAAATGAACAGGCGTAAGCTTGGAGCAAAAATTTCAAAAATTGCAAATTTTACATTTCAACAATTATCTTCTAATAATTTTAACTCTTCTGAAGAAAATAATAATAAAATTAATAATAATGGAAAAAATAACAATTCAAATCTAGAAAATAAAATTACTACTAGTGAAAATAATAATATTGATTTGGATAAAGGAAAGAAAAGGCTTCCTTTGGTATTTTAATTTTTATTAATTTTTCCAAAGATTTAATTTTTTAAGGGAGAAGTTAAAGTAATTAATGCGGTTGGAAAAACTTGTAGTGCAGCACCTTCCGAGAAAACTTCAAATACTCAATTAATTTCTAAAAAGAGAACAGAGCGTTTTGAAGTTTGTTTGGATGAGGAGGAGGAAATTGATGATGATAACTCTAAAGATAATAGAAAATCAATTAATTCTGAAGTTAAAAAGAGGCGTGATTTATCTGCGGATGAAAATAATGACGATTTTAATAAATTAAATGGAAAGTCAAGAATTGAATTGTTATCACCGGTATATAAACTTTTCAGTTTGAAATTTAAAAAAAAATTTTTATTTTTAGTTGCCAGGAAAGGAGAATGTTATGCCAATCAAAACTCCAACTAAACAAGACGAAAAAGAATATTTAACACATTTTGATACAGAAAGTATTAATAGCTACAATACAGCGCCTGAATCGGTTACTGAATGTCTAACTGCTAAATCTCAATTTTCAATTCCTCATTTAAAAGGACAATTAACTTTTGATGATCCATTAGTATATTCTTTTTTATTTAATTAAATATTATTTTTTAAGTATATTGCTTATGAAGAGGATATATATAAATGGATGTTGTTTAGAGAAAAGTCGTATAGACCAAAAACAAATTTTATGGATAAAGTTTGTGTTTTTTAAATAAATTTTACGTTTTCCCCCAAAATTTTAGCAAACACATATAAATGCGGAGATGCGAGCAATTTTAATTGATTGGTTTGTGGATGTTGTTGGTAATGATTTTTTGTCGATTTTATTAAATTTTAAATATTTTTAGTTGAACTAGAACTTAGTCCGGCTTCGTTTTTTCTTGCTATTTCTTTAACTGACCGCACTTTGTCCGTCATTGACTGCCCTAAAGAAAGACTTCAGCTCTTGGGTGCTACAGCTATTTTGATTTCGACTAAAGTTCAAGAGGTGTTCCCACCGCTGGTTAAAGACATTGGTATAAAAATTTTTTGTAATTACCTATAGTATAATAAGTACTTGAAATTTTTGGCTGTATATACATAAAATGAATGCCAACTTTATTTTTTCCTTCCTCAAAGGATATAATCCAGTATTGTGTGTATGTGTGGGGAATAGAGCGGCTCGCGTTGAAAATCCGATTCTTGTAAATTTTATGACCTGAGATTTTCCGCGTTGAAATGCCGACCTATCCCCGTATACCACAAAAACATTTTTGAAAAAAAATAAAAAAAATAACGTATTTTGATTGAATTCGTAAAGTTGAGTAAGGGAAAAATCAAAAAGGAAGTTGTTTCTCATGTGACAAAATTTTTTTTAGTTTTTGTAACTGATGATAGCTACAGTGAAAACCAGGTTATTTAAATTTTTATTGTAAAGTTAAGTTATTTTTAGGTACGAAATATGGAAAAAGTGATTTTACGTGTTGCCGATTTTCAATTAACTGTGCCATTAATCGATTCTTTTGCTCAACTTTTCGATCACACAGCCTCTACTTCTGCATTTCCTCTAAATCAAGTCTCACGAAATCTTATGTGGTTAGTTATTTGTTTCATTTTAGAGTTTTCAAACACATTATAGATTTAATTAAATCGAAACTATTAGATTAACACAAATCCAGATATTCTTTAAATCAGAAAATACAAGTGTTTCTAGGTATTTTTTGGAACTTTCTACACTTGATTGTTTCTGTGTTTGCATTTTACCAAGTCGATTGGCGGCAGCTGCTTTCCTCCTAGCTTCTTCATTTCAAAAACTTCGTCAAAAAGTTGAACCGATGTCGACAATCGATAAAGAAAAATGGAAATTATGGTCTGATGAAATGGTCAAAAGAACCAGAATTAAAAGATCGGATTTGCAAGAACCAGGTAAATTTAATCGATTTATTTTATAATTAATTGTAATTATTTATAGCTAAAATATTAATGAAGTTACAACAAAAGGCAGTCTCGTCAAAGTTTCAAGCTCTTTTCAAAGTAAATTAATTTACATAGAATTAATTATTCACAACTTTAAATTTCAGAAATTTTCTTGTCCTAAGCGATGCAAAGTTGCATGTCTCAAACCGTTAGAGTTCGAAGAAGTCGCTAGTCAATTCAGCGATTGATAGAAATATTTTTTTCTTTAAGTAATTAAGATAATTGTGTCACCACTTTTATTTAACCATTTTAACTTTAAACCCTTAATTTACATTTTTTGAAAGAATCTCCAAATTAATCTTCTAAATATATATTTATGATTCCAAATAATTTTACATCGAAAAATAATAATTTTACAAAAATTGTATCAAATTTTGGACCCTTTCGTGTTATCTGCCCCATTACGTCGATTTTGGTGTCTTTTATAATCTTAGGTTAGTTATTTGAAAAACGGGTAAGATAATGCGAAAGTACCAAATTTTGTTTAAAAATACAAATTGCTAACTTTAACGGGTACTACTCCGTTAAATTATAATCCTCCTTAATCCCTTCAGATCTCCCGATATCCCACCAAATCAATCGTTATTTTTTGGTAGGTTGAAGTTTAGTCTGGACACAAATTTAATCTAGTTTGATTTGTTGGGCATATTTAGGGAGAGAAGTAAAAAGGGCAAAATTTTTCCATAAAAAAGTCTGCAAAAAGCACGTAGGGATAACGAAGTAGTACCATTTAACGTTTTTTCATTAATGTCAACGTATTATGGTGATGTTTCAGCTAATATCGCAGCCACCGTTACGGGCGATTGTCGACGGTTTCCCTGCGTTTGGGAGCGCTGTTGATTGTAAAATTGATTTTGTTGAAAGATTCTCTGCTGTTGAGATTGTACCGGAGTGGTTCTAATTGTATTTGTATAGGGCTGTTGTTGTTGTGTTGACTAAATATGTAGTTTGATTGGAAATCCTATGTATATAATTTTACCTCTCCATAAACATTGCCTCGGGGTTGTTCGTAAACTGGTTGCGGGAATTGCTGTAACGTTCCGACTTGTTGACTAGAGATATTCCCTCCAATAGGGACTGCACGAAGAGTTGTAACAGATGTAGTTGGGGTCAGACGGGTACCGTTCGGCTGTTGAACTTGAATGTTTGGCTGAGAATATGTGCCAGAAACTTGTTGTTGACCGGTTGGTTCAACCAGGTAGTGTTGAATTTCTGGTTGTTGACGGTAGAACTTAATATTATTTTTAGAATATTAAATAGCATTTATTAATACTGTTCGTCCAAAATTGTCCTGTTCATATTCTACTTGACACTGATTTGTTCGATAATTTGGTTGTTGTTGTCCAATATGTTGTGGTGGTTGTTGCTGATGAGTTACATAAATAGTAGTTGTGCCAGTATTATTGTTCTCTATTCCACCAATAGAAGAATAGGGATATGCAGGTGATGTCTCACTAGATGAATAAATTTGTTGTTGATCTGGTTGCTGGTAAGTATAACGCAAGAAGCGCTGAGGCCCAGCTGAAGTTTGTTGCTGGGGTTGTAACACTGGCGGTTGCTGATCAATCGGAGCTGTTTGGACATTTGATGTAGAATAGTAATGGTGTATACCGCTCCCCATCACGTGCTGTTGTTGCCCTTGACTATTCTAAATTTTAGAAAAAATAAGCGTATGTCTATAAAACGAACATCCGATACTGTAAACTGATTTTGGCGTCTATGTTGCTGTTGGATGTTTTGATATTTTTGCGGCGAATAACTGTAAGATGTAGGGGAAGCAGAAACTAACGTGACAGCAGAGGAATATGGCGAAGGTGGAGTAGACGGAGGAATTGGAGCTGAAGGACGTGATAAACGCGATTGTAAGGAAGTGGAAGATGATTGTTGTTGTGAGGTATTTTGGCGAGGAATTGCTAGTGTCGGGGTAATGAACGAACCACTACTTTGAGACTGGATTATTGAAACTTGTTGCTAAAATAAAATAAATTGCAAAGATTGGATAAAAGTGAAATGCTAACCGAACTGCCAACAGACATTGGTCTTTGAGGTGATTGTTGTGGCGAATAAATTTGAATCAGCTTTTGATGTTGGCCAGACGCTAAAATTAAAAAAAGATCTGAAAGAATTTTAATCAATAATACGATATCGTGATGGTGAAAGAGTAACCGCACCATGAGTCTCACGTAAATGCTGAAAATATCAAGGAATTAATTTATTGAAAAGTTTTTTGATGAAATTATTTTAAAATAAAAATCTAGTAAAATAACCAATATTGTTTTTTCACTCACAGTCTTACTTATTGTTAAATAAAATCATTAAAACTAGTAAAAATTTAAGGACATTAACTAAAAAATCAGATTATAGTCAGATGAAAAAACTATACAGGCATGAGGGTTTTTAATTATGAATAAATGAGAAATTACATTAATAAAATGAGAAATTACATATAGTTGATAATATTAAAGGGAGTAAAAAGGAAAATATACAATATTCTAAAGTTTTTGCAGAAAAAAAGTATACGACATTTAAACATTTCAAGACCTTGTTGAGTGATGTCAATGTTTTAAACACTTTGAATTCATTTCCAGTAGAAGCACATTGTTGACATTGATATTTACAATCTCTTTAAAACAAAATGATAAATTACATATAGTCAAATAAACTTTAATAAAGTATTTCCAACAGACGGAACATTAACAGGTAAAGAGACTGATGAAACTGTTGTAACCAAAAAAGGTGCTTCCTGTAACACAGTAATTTTTTGAGAAGTTGATGAGTCAGTAGTCGAAACAGAAACAGGTGAATTAAAAACCATTGAGGATGATAAAAATGGTGATTGACGTCCAGGAAATTGTCTGCTAAGAATTCCCTCTTCTGACGCACTCAATTTAGAAGACATTTGCATAGAATGTTCAAGTGATGAACTGTGAGAAGTCCGCATATGTTGTCTAACGATAAAAGTAAAAAATAAATTTTAGAATATAAACAAATTTTAAAGTTTTTTTTATTTTGTTAAAATAAAAAGGCAAAAGATTTTTAAAGTTATAAAAATTAAAAAACCTTAGTCCTTGCTGATTTTTGTAAGTTTTTGAACATCCATCAAATGCACATCTATATTTTCTTTCCTCAAACCCACTTAACAACTTAAACATTTTAATTGAAATATTATAATTATTTAATTAAATTAAAAACCTGCTGTCCCGGCGATTGACATCCACTTAATAAATCTGGTGTTACACAACCTAATTAGAATCTATTTTGGCAACAATTTCAGAAAAATAATACCGCTAGATGTAGAAGCTTCTCTTGGTCGATTGTGTTGATTTTCAGGCACACGTTTAGAAGAAATCGTAGAGAGAGAATTTGGATCACTTGTAGCCAATATTTCAGAAGTTAAAGATGAAGCTGTTGTTTGCACAACTTAAAATTGAAAAATTCATTAAAAACACTCAAAAAAAGCATTAAATCTGTTTAAAAATATTCACACAAAGTAATAGTAAAAATAACATGAGATTTCAAACCAAAGGTATAAGTAAACGTACCATTACTAACTACAGAATTCAATTGTTGTTGAACAATTTGCTTAGGTTTATAATGACAAAATTTAAGTGTTCTTTGCTTTGGAGTTGTTATTGGATGAACTTTATGTCCTTTCGGAAATGGCTTCAATCTTAAATTCATTTATATAAAGGTGTAGTTATCTAATTAGAAAATTTTGGCACCAAGGATTTAGAAAAATCCACTGTTAAACTGATGACTACTTGAATTTAGGGGAGGTAAACTGCATAAATGCACAAAAATTAAAACCCTTATGCATCCTTATTAGAATAAACACAATAAAATACAAAATTAAATTATATACCTGCAAACAAGTGAAAGAGGTACAGGTTGGTTAAGAGAGGCATTGTAAGCCTTTTCGTATTGCTCAGGGTCATCAACAAATTGTTCACGGAGTCGCTTTCGCTCAGCAATTTTGGCATTTTCAATTAATGCTTTAAAAAGAAATAAAAAGATAAAAATTAAAATATTTACGAATATGCTCTTCCTCTATATGATGAATTAATTCAAGCAAGTTTTTGTAATAAAGGCCACATTTTTCACCATGACTGCTAATCTGACCATCTTCAATTTTTGCAAAGGAGCAACAATTTTGATTTAACATCCTAAAATATTGCCAGATTTTTTAACAGAATGATAAATGTTAAAGGTTTTTAGTATCGAATATGCTTGTCAGATCTGCTGCTTGTTTAAGCTAGAAATTAAACTAGAAATTAAATAAATTAAAAAATACCTAACAAGCCTTGCTACAAAGTAGACGCGACAATAGGCTTGTGATGAAATGGACTTCTCACTCCGCTAAAAAATGCGCCAAAAAGATCTTTAAAAATCAAATTTGTTTGCATATTAGAAACCGGCGCGAGTCGGGATCACGCGCGAGGTTTTGCGGGATACCGCTCCCGAAATCACTCGTTTTTTTCGATTTGCGGGAATATTCCCGCGGCAGTTTCTTACGAGAATTTTTGAAAGTTACTCACGCATGCGGGATCCTGCAACTGTCTTTTGCAACTTCTCTATTACATACAAATATTATTTTGTTTACGCATTTTTAATTTTACTATTTTTGTTCCGTCTTAGTTTCGTCTTTTTTTCCGTCTTACTCACAATTGTTTTTCTTTTAGATTTTATTGATAATATTCAAGTTATAATTGAGATAATGGATGAAGAATCGGTAAAGCCTAAGCCATTGTATACGTCGACACCATTAAATAAAATGGATATGAAGAAAAGGCAGCTCGATAGGGTTATTTTAAAATTTATTTCAATTAAAAATTAATTATTTAGTCTGGCACGCCACAAAGTAGTATTTCTCTTTCGTCTCCGTTACACAAAAACATGAAGGCTTCGAAAAAGGGGAAAGACAGTTCAGACGTAGACGATATTTTTGCGTTATACAGCGATAATGATGATACCAATAAAACTTCTAATGGAGATGCGGAATACAATCTTTCTAATAGCATGCCTGATGTTGAAGAAAGTGCGAGTAGTATAATTGAGAAAAGTACCCATAGTACTGATAAAGATGGTAATGAAATCAACGAAGAAGATATTGACGAAGAAATCGATGATGGCGTCGACATTGTTCAGGATTCTATTTCTGAGGTAATTACTGAAGAGAAGAATGCAATGACCAATGCCTTGAATGACTCACAAGAGCCAGCACAGATTAACGAAGCAATTCAAGAATCTCAAAGCGAAAGTCAGATTGTGGCTGACAGCTTTGAACCAAGTCCTATCCAAAAGTCAAATTCTACTTCTAATGTTATGGATAATAATATTGCTGAAAGTGGGCAATCGAAGGATATTTTATCTGAAGAAAAAATAAATAGTATTTCGAATGATTTGGAAAAGAATTTTGATGGGATCGAATTATCGAATAATGACAAATCTATGAATAAAGTAGAGAATGAAGACTGGCAAAATGAAGATCCTAAACTTATTAATAGTGAAAAAGCTTCTGAAGAAATTAACGTCGAAAAAGACTCAACTTATGAACTTTCTAGTAACAGCGAAGCCATTGAGGAAGACGCCGAGCAAGATATTATTTCAGTTCCTGCTGTTTTAAGTATGTGCAATTAATTTTAATAATTTTGTTTGGTTTTTATTCGAAATCTAATTTTAATGTTTGATTAATTTAGAGAACAATGCTCGCGGTCCGCCAGTTATCACTCCACCACAGCTTAATCCAGAGAAACCGGTTGTAGCTCATTTGCCAATGCAACGTAATTAGTTATATCTATTTTTGGAAATTTATAAACTTTAGCTCCCGTCCAACATGGCCGTTTATTTGGCGGTGCAATGACTGATGAGAGAATGTTAAAAATTCAAGGCATTTCGAATGATGTTGTCACCGCTATGCATTCGTTAGTTTTGACTTTTAATATTATTTTTATAAAATTCAGATCGCTTTCGTCTATCCCTGAAAATGCTGTAACCGAAGCCCCTCGCGGATTGCGTATTGATCTGTTGCCTCATCAAAAGACTGGTCTTACATGGCTGCTATGGCGTGAACAACAGATGCCCCCAAGGTATTAATGGTTTTCTTATTTAAAAGTATTTTTTCAGTGGAATTCTTGCTGACGACATGGGATTGGGAAAAACTCTTTCTCTGATTTCTCTCATACTTCACAAGAAAAATGCTCGAAAAACTGATCCGGCAGTTGTTGAACGAGAGAATCACTTACGACGAAATTGTGTTTTTGGTCTAATTTTTAAAATAAAATATTAAAACGTTGAAATTTTTTTTCAGAGAGACATTTGATCCCAGCAAATTCAACTCTTGTAATTGCACCTGCTTCACTTATTTACCAATGGGAGAAGGAAATTATGGACAGAGTCCAAGAAGGTCTCTTAAGAGTTTTTATCTTTCATGGTCCAAAGAACAAACGCGAAATATCTGCTCATAGGTAGATATCAAAATAAAAATATTTTGATCTTTGTCATTGTATAGACTCTCCAAATATGATATTGTTATCACTACTTATGAACTGTTGGTCTCAGAGTTGAAATCTAGAACTAAGCTTATTGGTCAAAGTGATGATAGCGACTCGGATTCTGACAACCCGTCTCGTGGGAGAGGAGGAGTTCGTTCTAAACCTAAAACAAAAAGTCTCAAACCAAAGGTTTTAACTTTTTAATTTTTATAATTTTTAGTTATAATTTCTTAGGCTTCACATGATTCTGTTCTTATGGATATTGCTTGGGAAAGAATTATTTTGGATGAGGCACACGAAATAAGAAATAAAAATGCACAAAAGTCTCGTTGTTGTAGTAGACTTGAAGCAGTTCATCGATGGTGTTTAACTGGGACGCCAATTCATAACAAACTTTGGGATTTATATTCTTTGATTCGGTTTTAACAATTTAAAGATATTAATCAAATTTCTTTTCTCATCTTCAGATTTTTACGTGTCACTCCATTTTCAGAAGAGAAAATTTGGAAGGAGTTTATTGACAATTCTTCCAGTTTGTTTTTTATTAGAATGATTTATATTTATCTATATTTGCAGTGAAGAGTACGGAACGCTTAAACACTATTGTTAAGAGTATACTTCTGCGACGTGCTAAAAATCAAATTTGCACGATTACAAACAAACCAATGGTTATTTTTAAACTGCAATGAATTTCTTACATTTGTATTTTAGATTGAGATAACTGCTAAAAAATGGGAGGTAGTGAATCTCGAGCTTGGCGAGTGGGAGAGTCACTGTTATTCAATCATGTTCGAAGCTTCAAAGTAAATTAGTTTAAATTTTTTGTTTATTTCTTCTTTTTAGACAAAAGGTCTCAGATATACTCCAAGATGCTGGAATGATTGCTCGTCGTAGAGGTCGAAAACCGTTGAAGGAAAAGCCTGTTAATCCATTCAGTAAATTTTATAGTTTGATTAAAATAAAGTACTGGTCCTAATAAGGAAATAAAAAGGCCTTTTCAATGTTTTAGTATTTTGTCAAGAGATAATCGAGTGCACTTACCGAGTCCGAACATGACTCTGTTGTGTAGTTGTGTTGCTAGATAAACAGATCTACTTCATCTGATCAAGCTCCTTTTTCACCTTACACGTGCCTACTTTGTTACTTATTTGTAGTTGTTTCTTTCCAGGAACCAGTACTTTATTTTTCATTTTATTTATATTTTCAAACTTACATTTCTTATATTTAGTAGGAGGTGGTGCCGGCGGAAAGATTGGAGAAGCGGAGTATTTCAAAGTTTATTCGTGTATTCTTGTGCTGTTGCTTCGTCTCAGGCAGGCCTGTGTTCATATGTCTCTTACTAAAGATGTGAGTTAATCTTGAAGGATTAAATGCAGTATGTTTAATTTTATAGGCTATTGACATGGACGCTTTCAAAGTTGATGATGATGAAACTGACAAAGTAATTGCCGCGGAATTCGAGGCATCATTCGCAAATATGTCTCTCGACGAATCTGGTCTAGTCGATGCTTCAGAAAATACAGGACAAAATAAGCTAATCGAGAAAGTTTTTCAGCGTGAATATGCGAGCACAAAAGTTGTTGCCGTTCTTGAACGTCTTAAACCAATAATTGAAAATGGTGATAAATGGTAATTTATAGAATTTATAATTTTAATTAAATATATTTTTAGTGTTATTGTGAGTCAATGGACATCAATGCTATCTATTATTGAATATCACTTGAAGCTAACCAATACGAAATATACTTCCATTACTGGGAATGTAAAAGCAGAGGACAGGTAAATTAAAATATGGATTATCTTTATTTTTTGTTTTAAGGCAACATCGTGTTGATAGCTTCAACAAGCGTAATTTTGGTCCAAGCGTAATGCTTCTTTCTTTGACTGCAGGCGGTGTTGGATTGGTTAATTTTGTTTATTTTTTATTATAATCTTTCATATTTTTAAAGAATTTGACTGGTGGCAATCATTTATTTATGGTGGATTTGCATTGGAATCCTGCACTTGAACTTCAAGCCTGTGACAGGATCCACCGACTTGGGCAAACAAAGAATGTTTTCATCCACAAGTAAAAATGAAATATTTCAAATATAGTTTCACATTCATAACTAAAAATGTTAACTTTTCTAGATTTGTTTGCTCCTCAACAATAGAACAACGAGTTTTGCAATTACAGGAAAAGAAAACACAATTAGCTACATCAGTCCTCGAAGGGTAACATTTGATGACTAAATAGTATAAAGATATTCTATTTTAGAGCTGCTTCAAAAAAATTGACGAAATTAACAAAGGATGAGCTTATGTTTCTTTTTGAACTTGACAAACCTGCACCTTCGACGCAAAAAACGAGGGCAGCTACTGCCTTGGCAAATGCCAATTCTCAACCAACTACAAGTTCGCAACCTACAGCTTAAATGAACCTTTAATACATACATATTTTATTAACTTGAGTACGAAATTATTTGCTGTATAGAGATTTTGGACATTTTATCTTACTGTCAAAACTATAAGGTATTTGAATAAAAAATTTACTCTTTTAAGACTTGAAAAATATCTCTGGGCTTGGAAGGTTTGTAAAAATATTAGCGAAGTTTTGAGATTAAGCTAATAATGTGATAACTAGCAGAGAGCTGCTACTTGTACGGTTGGCTTCGATCGATTTTCCAGCTGCCATCTCAAATTGTAGGCGATTATTGAAGATCACCTCACTTTTATGTGTAGAAGCATTTCTCTTTTCTACTTCGATTGGTCTTTTTGAGGTGACACTTTGTCCTTGACATCGAAGGCAGTCGTCAATAATCCCTGTATGTTTTCTATTCGATCATTCCTTTCATCATTTGTCCTCCGTTTTTGTTCAACATACTACAGTCCTTCAACTCATTTGCTCCCGCCGGCTATTTGTTTGAGTTGTAGCTTTTTTAAAGAATTTTTTGTGTTGTGGCCATCAGTGACAGCCGTAAAGCCACTACTATATTTGTCCATTCATTCAACCGATTCTCGTAAATTTTCAATTTCTGAAATTAATCTTTTATTTTACTGCCAATGTCTCTTCATATTTTTGAAAGTTTACAGATTCTCATTTAAAATTTAAGATTATTTTTAAACTATAATTTGCAAACTTTAAAAATCTTTATTTTAAAACCTTTAATTCTTTCTTAACCAGTGTTTCACTTAAAATTCTTGTAGTTTTTTAAAGAGAAAAGTATTGAGTACAAGCGCAAAAGTGGGCGAAATAAAAGAAAATTGATAGGTTTTTGTCCTTTTTGTTTCTTTTTCTATGTTTTATTTTTTTCTGGATTTTTCCTTTTTTTCCAGACAAAGTTTTTTTAGTTTATTTACCTATTAAAATTAAGTAGGTATATTATTTTTTCAAATTTCTTTTACTGCTTAAAACCTTAAATTGTAAGAACTAGAGTTGGACAAGATCGGTTAAGCTAATTTTTTTCTAAATTAAATGGTAAACGAGCATCCTAAAACGGTGTTTTTAACCCTTAAAGTTTTTTGGAAAATAAACGATCATTTAATGGGGGGGGGGGTTAAATAAACGAAACAATATACTACGTGTTTAAGAGAAATGGTACATATAAACAATAATGTTTAGAGGGAAATTAAACAGTTTTTTATCCAACTTTAATAAAAATATATAAAAATATTTTTATGTCATTCCACTTGGCAATTTATATTTTTGTTTGGGATGTGACAAAAATACATATATTTTCTAGCAATAGCGTGAAAGCACAGGAGCGGAAGTGTGAAAAGCAATCAAATTTTCTCGAGTTGGCTAATATAAAAGGATGAGCATAAATAAAAAAAGGAAGAAAAAAAAGCCTTTTCTTTTACTTAAAAATATTTTTACTTTTAGCCAAAATTTTATAAATAATTATTTTTATATAAAAAATTTTAATAAAAATAAAATTCACAAAAGCTGATTTGAGCACACCTGCTACCTCTTTTTCTCTTCTTTTTTATTTTTTTTAATTTCCGTTTCCCTACTATTGATATTTTTATTTAAAACTTTAAACTAATAATTTTTTCTCTAAATAAATATTATTTTTTAACTCAACCATAAACAAATATTTCTGTCCATTTACCCAAAAATTCGCATAAATAAGCTTTTTTTATTTCCGGGTCAATAAAATTATTTTGCTGAAAATATTCTCTTAAATATTTGGAAAAATATTCTTTTTTAATTTCCGATTAATTTAAATAAGTCGAATCTCGATATACTTCCATTAAAATTAGTATTTGTAACTTTTTTCTGTACACTAAAAAGAGTTTTTGTGCTGTTTTTTTATTTGGTTTCCAATATTTCTTATTCAAAATTCTTCCATTATTTTTTATTCTTTTTTTTTTCAGTCTTTTGCTCTTCTTTCATTTTTTATTCTACACATATTATTTATATAGTTTTGTTGGTCTCAAAAACTAAACAAAATATTTCTTTTGTTTACAGACAATCTTTTGTGTTTATTTAAATAAATAAATATATTTTTAAAAAATATTTTTAGTTCTAAAATGATTTGATTTTTAATTTATTTTTATTTCAGAAAGGTATTCCTTCTTTAAAAATCTGGAAACAAAAATAAGCCAACAAAACGTTAAAAAGCCTAATCAATCGACAACACACTCCTCCTCATTTCTTTCCTTAAACAATTTTGTTTTTTAAATTCTTTTCAAAAATTATTTTTTAATTTAAATAATTAACTAAATTAAATCGTTCCACTGTCAAAACCATTCCCCCCCCCCCCCCCCCTTTATATTTTTTATCCTCTTTACATTTATTTAAAAAATACTAAATAGTTGCACAAATAATTAATTAAAAACTGACGATTAAATTATTTTTTTTTTGTATTTGATAAAAATTCCTTTCTTCATTTAAATAAATTAATTTTTGTTTAGACTTTCTACAAAATAAAAATATAATAAAATTAATGTTTTGTAATAATCTTCAAAAAAATTAAATGTCAATTAATATAAAGAATAATTCTGAGGTAAAAATACCTAACTTTTATTTAAATTATTTTAAAAATTTATTTTGAAGGAGTTGAAAGTTGAGAATGGAGTATTTATTCATTCTTCATGCCCTTCATCGAATAGTGGAAATGGTAAATATTTTATTATTGGTAGGATCCTGTTAATACATATTTCACGCTCAGGACCGAATTTAGTCGGCATATAAATGAGTGATTAAAGGGGGAGTTGTTGGGAAGGGGGTTTAATAATATTTAAGATAACTGCATATAAATTAAATAAATTTTAATTTTTAAAAGAAAATAAAATATTAAATGAATTATTCCTTCCCTCAATTCATTTTTTCTTTTTTAGGTCAAGATTTATTATTAAATGTTGGAAGTTTACAAAAGCCAGATTTAGAATATCTTGGCCAATTAATTAAAGACAAAAAGCAGCTCTCAGCATTTCCAAATGTTTTTTCTCACGTCGAAAAACTTTTGGACGAAGAAATTAATCGTGTTAGAATTGCAATATTTCAATGTGAATTTAGCCACGAGCCTTTACAATTACCTGAAGCTATAGGAGAAATAAGTACTCATCAAGAGAAATTATATGTTCCAATAAAGCAATATCCAGATGTTTGAAAAAAAATCTTTTTTTTGAGAAAAAATATTTTTTAAATTAAAGTATAATTTTGTTGGACGTATTCTTGGACCTAGAGGAATGACAGCAAAACAATTAGAAACAGAGACTGGATGTAAAATAATGGTTAGAGGAAAGGGTTCAATGAGAGATAAAAAGAAGGAAGATTTAAATAAAGGAAAACCAAATTGGGAACATTTAAATGAAGATTTACATGTTATAATACAATGTGAAGATACAGAAAATAGAGCAAAAATAAAAATGTCTAGAGCAATTGAAGAAGTAAATAAATTATTAATTCCACAACCTGAAGGTGAAGATGATCTTAAAAGAAAACAATTAATGGAATTAGCTATAATAAATGGAACATTTAGAAATGGGGGAATAATGCCTACAACACCTACAACAAACAATAAAAATAATAATTCTCTAATTCGTAAGAATTTTTTGGAAGATTTTTTAAATTCTCTTCTTCTTTATTTTTTAGCTTTAGATCAACGTTTATTAATTAATTCATTAAATAATTCTTCAAATTCTTTGGGATTAGCCGGTGTTCCTTTAATGATTGCAGCACCTTCTCCTTCTCAATTAATTAAAGGATTACCTCCTCCACCCCCACAACAACCAAATAACACCAATAATTTATTAAATAATCAATTAACAAATGCTTCAATTGCTCAAACATTATTACAACTTGGAGGAATTTCAAATAATATTTTAAATACTCCAGGTCCATATGGATTAGCTTTACCACAACAAAATAATGAAAATTCTTCTTCTTTAGATTTTTTTGGAACAAAGTTTTCTCTTTTTAAAAAAACTTTTTCTAAAAATCTTTTTAAAGTCAATATCAACAACAACAAGACCAACAACTTTCATTATTACTTCAACACCAACAAATGGCTTTACTTCAACAACAACAAAATAATGGAGGAATTTCATTTGGAGAATATACAAATAATTTTGGGGGAACAGATTCTGCCGGTCAGTTGTTGATCTCTTCTGTATTATAAAAAAAATAAAAGAAAAAAATTATCAAGTCTTTCATACAAAATTGTATATAATGGGAAAATATTTAAATAATTATTTTTTGTTATTTGTAAATTTTTGTCCGTCAATTATGGTTTAACAAATTTTTATAGAGATTTACATAAATATATTTTATTTTTTTAACAAATTTGGGTTTTATCTTTAACTATTTATTTTTCTAATTTAAATTTAAAAATTCTTTGGCATTTCCAACTTACAAAAATTTAATTAATTTTTGGTTAATTAACTTTTTTCTTCTTTAAATAACAAAATAACAACTAAAAACACCTTTCAGGCGCAATACTTTCTGGACAACGACGTTTTGTTGGACATAGTCGCGATGCTGCATTTCCTTACGGGAAATGATGGGAGAAATTCTTTTAAATTCAAAAATAATTTTCGTAAATATTTAAAAATGCCTTTCTGTGTTTACGCTTTTTTCTTTCCTTTTAACTAAAAAATTAACTTTGATTATTCTCCTTCTTCTCTCTCTCTAGACAATTTCCTTCAATTTCGCATAATTGTGCCTTATTTTTTAACAAAAAATCTCTTTTCAAAAAATGCAAAATTTTTATTTTTATTTAAATCTTTTTATTTTAATCTCTCTAAAACACTCTCATAATAATAATAATAGAAACAAAGCCTTAAAAGTTAATTAATTACTTAAAATATTTTGTTTTGCGGCTTTACAATTAAATTTAAAATGCAATTTATTTGTTAAATAATCTCTTTTATTTCAAATAATTTCTAGTTTTTTGTTAAATTTAATGAAAAATAATTGTGCCTTTTTTAAATGAATAAATATATTTTTGTTAAATATTTTTTAAAAGAAATTACACATTTTTCTCTAATATTTTCCTTCAAATTTACGATTTAGTTTTGTCGATCCATCTCCGGACTGATCTTCAGGTGGAAGCCAAGTAGCATACATATCTGATGAATTGTTTTGAATTTGTTCTTCCTTTTCTGCTTTGATTTTATTTTCTTCCTTCTAAAAAATAATTTTAAATAAAAATATTTTTTGATAATTATTTAATGGAATTAAAGAAAGATTGATGGATATAAATTTAATTTAAATCATTTACTTGATCCAAAATTCTTCGTTTCTTTTCTAGCAAAGCTTCTTTATTTCCTTCTTCTTGTCTTTGAAGTAATTTCATTTGAATTAATTCTTGTTTTGTTAAAACACCAAAACGAGTAATTGAAGCAATAACCGACTTTGGAGGCATTGCTGGAGCATAAAATTTTGGTTCTTTTTCTTCTTTTTTAGTTTCCTCCTCTTTAATTTGTTCCAATTCTGATATTTTTTCTTTATTTTTTTCTTTTATTGGTGATTTTAATATTTTTGTTTTTATATTATTATCATCTTCCTCAATTATTTTCTCTTCTTTAAATTCTTCTTTTATATTCTGTTCTTCTTTTATTTCATTTAAATTATTTTTAATAAAAATATTTTGTACAGGCTTAGTAATTTCCACCAATCTCGCAGTTTTATTCTTCTCTTCCAATAATTTCTTTTCTTTACTTTTTAATTGAGAAATTTGCATTCTCATCTAAAAATTAAATTTAAAATTTATTTTGAAAATTTATAGGTATATCGCATTATCCGTCAACATTTTATTTTTTTCACATTTCTTTTTCCTTTCTCCGAAAAATGAACGCGGGGGCCAAAGAACATATTGTTAAAGGATTTAATTAATTTGGAAAAACTAATTTTGGGTCTGTAGCAATAGTTAGAACTAAGTCCGGTATTGTGAGTAGGACCATAATCCCAGGCCCGTAAACGGATAACGCGATAGTACTAATTTATAAAATTAACCGAAAAATTTCGTTTAATTGCTTTTCCTTCTTCAACAAAATCTTCATTTTTTGTAGATTCACTGCTGTCTTTCCCAACTAAACGTTCAATTTCCGATTGAACAACCAAAATTTTTTCATTTAATTCTTCTAAATCATTTACCAAATCATTATGGGTTTTTGCTTTGTTAATTACTCCAACATCCCCCTTTAAATTGAAAAATATTTTTAAAAATAAATTAAAACAAACCTCATACCAACGTTTCCTTTTTTCTCGTTGTTCTTCCAGTTGACCAGTTCTGTCGTAAAAAATATCTTCATCTTCAGCATAAAAATCATTCTCTGCATATTTCTTTCGTTTATTCCATAAATTTGAAATTTGCAAAAGACAAGCAGCATCAAGTCTCTCACATGCTAATAATGAACATTGCAATTGTGCAAGACGCTTCGAAGGTGCTGAGGCCGAAACTAGCGTACTTCCAGTTAGAGAAACATCAGAAATAAGCCTGATTGTGAATTAAATTACATAAATATTTTTTGATTAAATTAAATTACATATTTTAAACGAAAATAATTAAAAATTAGAAAAGTCCAAAATTTTTAATTTAAACTAACTCAATAGAGCAAATCCATGTAGAGCTTCCGTCGTCTTCCTTTGATCCTTTTACCCGAGATTTTTTAGATTTTTCGCCCAATCCTAAATCATTAGCTTCAACAGTTTTTGTGAAACGAAAATCCATGGACGCTCCTTCTCGTTCAAAATAACGTTCCAACCAATGAATTGGATCTTTTTCATAATAACGATAATTTAACATTTCTGTATCTTCATCTTCTTTTTTACTTAGAGCATCTGATTTTAATTCGGAATTATCTTCTTTTGTGGTAAATACTTCTGAATTACTTTCATTCTCACATTCATCCTTTTCTTTTGGACCACCACATAAAACAAAAATCCTTGAACTTGCTGAATTAAATAATGAAAAATTATATTAAAAAAATAAGAACTCAATTTAGACAAAAATATTGCGAAAACAAAAAAAAGTTACCGGCAATTTGGAAGACATAACCAACAAAAAGAGGTACAAATGTTGATTTCTCAATTCGTTTTTTATTTATTCGAACGCCATGTGTACTATTCATGTCATAAATAAACCATTGGGGCTTTCCCCTTACATGTTCTCCATATTGAAGAACAGAATGAAAACGAGAAACCGAAGGATGCTCTAACTAAAAATATTAAAGATTAACTATAAATATTCTCTAAAAATATTTTAAACCTTAATTTCACAAGGATCGAATCGGCCAATTGTTAAATAAGACTTTTCTCCTTTATCACTGTGTAAAGAAATACGTTCAATAACGGTTCCATTTTTAATTACCTAAATAAAAAATATTATCAGAATAATTTAAAAATAAAATTAAAAATCTTGTTGCATATTTATTTCATTAAAATATTTGAAAAATCAATTAGTAGTAGTAAAATTAAAGCAAAAAATAAAGAATTACTTCAATATAATAGCTATCTTTGCTGCAAGTTGGAACTCGCGCCCAAATCGGCTCAGTATAACGAGTTTCTAAATCTTGTTTGCTAGGAACTTTACATGCAGGAATCTCCTCGCCTTTTGCATCTCCTGTTAATTCACTGTTTTGAACTTTTGGAACTTCCATAATTTAATAGAAATTTTTTGATGCTTTATTCTGAAAATTAGAAATATTAACTAGGTATATGGGGTCACGGCATATGTATTTTTCAAAAAAAATTTTTAATAAATAAGAATGGCTGGGTAGGGGACCTTTCAGAGTGCAAATTAATATGTATGAGTAAATAAATTAAATTTAGAGATGGGAATGAAATTCTCCAAGGAATTCACAAATAAATTCAAAAATTATCTATGTGATTCTTAATTTATGGGATTTCTATTACCAGAATATCAGTTCTGGTTCATCTTTATACACTAATTAAGAAGAACAAACGATAAAAAAGCTAGAATTAAAAAAATTTTGAAGACGTGGTGAGACTCAAATGTTCAAAAACCTAAAGGTTTAGGCTTCAAAAGGTTTAGGCTAAAAGTAACCAGGTAACGAAAGAGTCTCAAAATATGGCATCAAAACGGAAGTTTTTGGGATATAACTTTTTTGTTTTTAGATCAATCCAAATAATTTTTGCTTTAATTAAAAGCTCTGGATGTGCTGGTTATTTTTTCCAAGAAATTGTTTAGTTTTACCGTCTTTCAAAAAAGTTAGGAGCCGTTAACTGCGAATAATCGTGATTTAACATACTTAGGCGGGTGTAACTTTCTATGAAATAAACGGATCCTTTCATAAAGTTAATAAAAAGAATAAAAACAAATATAGATTCTAATTGATAAAGAAAATTTGTGGAAACGATCGAAATAAAAAAAGTTATGGCATAAAAAAGGGCGTTTCGATGCTAAGTCGCCAAGACTCTATTGTCAAGCAAGCCTAAAGGTTTAGGTTTGTGCTGAGACTGAAAATAAATGTAAAGACAAAAGAGTCTTACTGACTTTTTGACATAATTTTAGTCAATTAATTGTTTTCATCTACAAGTTAAATATTTATTATTTTCAGAGTTTCAAATTAAATTATGAATGCTAATAAACAAGCTGAAGAGCAGCCAGAGGAGGATGCAACAGAATTGAAATTTCCCAAAGGTTAAATTAATTTTAAATATTTTTAACGAGAACAGTTGTTTTAAGATTTTGAAGTTCCTGGTTGTGATGCTTTAATGATTTCAGAAGTTTTTCTTCTCCTCGATCACAGACGTAAACAATCGGAACAAAAAGAAGAAATTGAAGATATAAGCGAAGTTTTTTTGAAAACTCTCAACTACACTCGAAGACTTTCGAAATTTAAAAGTCGTGAGACAATTCGTTCTGTTAGAGGGTAATTTTAAAAATTAAAAGAGTTTTTTATAAATAAATTTTAGAATATTTTCTGGAAAGTTAAATCTACATAAATTTGAAGTTGCTCAAATTGCTAATCTTTGTCCTGAAACATCTGAGGAGGCAAAAGCGTTGATACCTAGGTTGGGAATTAATGGATAAATTAATTTAACTTTATTCGAATTTATTTTTTTAAGTTTGGAAAATAAAATGGAAGATGAAGAATTGGATGAATTATTAAAGGATTTACATGCGAAGAAAACTTTTCAATAAACTTTTTTGTAATTAATATATTTTGGATGGAAGTTATTTGTTTAAATAAAATTTTATTTTTAGTTTCTACTTTATGTACTTAAAACATTTTAGTATCTAATGTTTGATTTGTTATTTAATTATTTTAAATTTAGTACTTTATTATCAACAAATGGAAGTTGATGGATGTACAATAGAAGAGATTTCAAAAGCTGTTGATGGTTATTTTATATTTTTTATTTTAATTAATTTTTTTAGTTGGGAGTTCTGAATTTCGTCAAATGGTTGGAAGATTGGCGAGTGCTTTTGGACTTGTTCAGCATCCCGATCCTCTTATTACACTTAAAGCTATTGAGGCGCGAATGTCTGCAATTAATGAACAAAAGTTGCATTTGGATGAACTCAAGAAAAATGTTTTTAAAAATAAAAATTTTTTAAAGAAATGTTTTTAAGCCACATCAAATAATTCCATTAAACACCGTTCCATTAGGTAAATATTTTAAATAAAATTTCAAAAGTAATATTTAAAGGAACTGAATCAACAAATTCACAAAAAGTGGATGATGGTGTTCGTTTACTTCGATTATTACATGGCGCTAGAATTAGAGAATTGCAAACAAAAATTAATGAATTAATGGCTGATGTTCAAAAAGTAACTGCAAGTCCTCGCTGTGATTTGAGTCTTGGACGTGTTGGACGTTAATTTATTTTAAAAATATTTTTTAAATTTTGTTATAATTAAATATTCGACAACGATGTTAGTAGACTCCCTTTCGTTGTATATTTTTTAATTTTGAATAAATAAAATTAAAAATATTTAAAATATTTTTGTTTTTTTAAAAAGTTATTTTAACTAAATTTTATCTAATTATTTTATTATAATCTTCACAATGATCTTTTTTAAAAAAGATGAAGCGATTTAAACCAAATATTTTAATTACTGGTACCCCTGCAACAGGTTTTTAATTACGTTTTAAATCTTTTTTCATAATTTGTTAATAAAGGAAAGACGACTTTAGCCAAAAGAGTTGCTGAGAATTTGCCTCTTAATTTTATTGATATTGGAGAAACAATAAAGTAAAAATACTTTTTTTTTCAAATTTAATAAATTTCAAGAAAGGAGAATTTCTTTGATGGATATGATGAACGTTTAGAGACACATATTTTGGATGAAGATAAATTACTTGATCATTTAGAGGTATTTAAATTTTATTTTTAAATTGGGAGATTCTGTAAATGAATGAAAATTTGGGTAAATATTGAGTTTACTGGTCCCTAGAAAAAATGAGGAAGAAGTGCGTTTTTGAGGTTTGCTGGTGTTAATTGAGTGTGCCTAATGGCAACCCTCAAAGTCGTTGAAAATAACTTTCTTCATTTTCTCCAGGGACCATAAACTCCAAATTTACGTAAATTTGATGTAAGTCTCCGATTGTAAAGAATTTTTTGAATAGCGAGGGTTGAAATTTGAATTTTTTTATTCTTCCCGCAGCTTAATCTTGATATTTAAATTTTCCCTATCATTTTAAAGGAGCGATTAGATTCTGAAGAGGGTGGTTACATATTAGACTATCATTCTTCAGAACTTTTTCCTAAACGTTGGTTTGATTTTATTTTTGTTTTACGATGTGATACTCAACAACTTTTTGATCGATTAACTGACAGAGGTTATTCTGACGTAAAAAGAAGAGAAAATATCGAATGTGAAATTTTTGGAACTATTGCTGAGGAAACACGGGAAAGTTATGATAAAGATATTATTTTTGAATTAAATAATACTGAAAAGGAAGATTTGGGAAAAAATATTTTAGAAATTACAAAAATTGTTGGAAAATATATTTAAAATAAATATATTTTTTTGTTTAAATTAAAATATTGTTTAAATCATTCTGTTATATCTACTTATATTTTTTTAAATTTTTTAAAGCAAGATTTTTAAATAGAAAAATGGGAAAGGAAAGACTCGATAATGCTGCCCCAGGTATTTTTTAAAAAATATTTTGTGAAAATTTTATTTTAAGTTATTCATGCAACTAAAATCAGACTTGCAGATAATCCTAAACTTAATGATGAAAATATTGAGGACCCAATAGATGCTCAGGAGGTGTTTGACTACATAAAAGATATAAGCGATCCTGAACATCCATATACTTTAGAGCAATTAAATGTTGTTCAGGTATTCTTAAATATTTTTTTTCAGTTTTATAAAAAAGTTTAGGAAGAACTAATTTATGTTGGTCTCGATCCTTTGGACCCATATGTTGATGTTCGTTTTACTCCAACAATTCCACATTGTTCCATGGCTGCATTAATTGGTCTTGCAATTCATGCAAAACTTAAAAGGTAGAGTTTTTTTTAAACGAAAAAGACGTCTGTTTAAGGTCGCTGCCCAAAAACATGAAAATTATTGTAAGAATAACACCAGGTTCACATAGCACAGAAGATTCAATTAATCGACAACTTGCCGATAAGGAGAGGGTAAGCTGTGAAAAACAATTTTCAATGATTTTTATATTTTTTAGGTTTCAGCCGCGATGGAAAATATTGGACTCATGCAAACGATAAATTCATGTTTAAAACCAAGTGACAAATAAATTCTTTAAATATTTTCTATGAAGATAAATTTTTATTTCGATTATTGTTAATACTTTATATGAAAGGATTACCAATATATTACTTTATTTATATACATATACTAAATTGTTTTATTATAAAAAGATGTGTCGGCTGTGGGGCAGAATTCGATATGGTGTTCATTGGGATAGAAAAGAACAAACTGAATTAGCGGTAAAAGCTTTAAATCTTCGAAAAGTTCTTTCTGTTCAACTTTCTATGGATCCTTTTTCTGGGGACAGCACTGCACTGAGGTAAAAAGTTTTTTTAGATATTCTCTTTTTGTTTTAATTTCGCGTCGCCCTTGTTTAAAATAAAACTTTTTCAGACAGTTATGGTCCAAACTCTCAGCACCAAAGGTTCGGGCAACGAATCCGAGAGTGCGTATTACTCACGAATTGCGAGATGATGGCAAGCCACCTTACTTTCTCATGCATCTTGGTTAAATTTTGACTAAATTATTCCAAAAACTATAAATTATTTTAGAAGATGGCAAAAAATTAATGTTCAAAACGGATGGTTTCCACGTTGCTGACCTTGTCATGCGACTTAATCGTCTTCTTGGCAATCCTGAATTGGCTCCGAAAGGAATTCCTTTTGAAGAGGACGAGGATGTACCGGATACCGAACTTGAGGACTGGCTTAGGAATCGCAGTCTGAAGAAAACCCCATCAGATTTTCTCATTTGAATATTGTTATATTTTTAGTTTTTAGACTAAAACTTGAATTAAAAACAAGAAAAAAATAAAATTTTATTTAATGAGGAATGATATGATGGGGAGAAATTTACGTATTGTTAATAGTTTTTAGAAAAATTCTTAGAAAACAGCCAAAATGATTTGGCTGAATAAATTTGATTTGAAAAAACGGACTAGATATAAAATACCTATGTAAGAGAATATAATAGAAGTAATAAAAATTGTAATCAAATATTTTAGAATTCAAGCAAATAAACTAAATATTAGATAGCATATAACATGTTTCTGAATGGAATGCATAGCAAAAGCATAAAATTAATATTTTAAAGTTTTGCAAATAAAATAAAAATTGATGTGAGCATTTTATGATTTAATGAGAAATAGTTTTGCCTATCTTATTATTAAAATTTACAGAGAAATAGTCATAAATTGAAGTAAATATCTAATTTAATTCCTCTCCAAAGTCAAGAATTTTTGAAGAGGAAAATTTATCAAAAAATAAGAAGGGCAAAAATATTTACATTTTTACTTATTTAGAGTACCATAGTTTTCTGTATTATGTAGATTTGTATTTACAGAAGTGTTTTCAGTTGGAGTTTGAAAGCAAGACTCTTGTTTATTTGAATGAGCACTAGTATAAGGCGAATTATTTGGAGTATCTAAAAATTGAAATTTAAAAGCTAGACAATAATTTTATACCATTTTTTCTGGAAATTAAAGGTGAACAACTTGTTTGATCAAGTTGTGGATCCATTTCATCATAGGTGTGTCTAAATTAATATTTAAATCAATAAAGACAATAATACAATAAAATATTCAGATCAATTTAAGTAAAAATTTACCTTACTTCTTCTATTTGTCCTCCTGACAGGTCTGTTATATGACATCCAACTGTTTTCTTCTTTTCAACTGAACACAACTTCTCACGAGGTGTTGGTCTTACAGTTGTGCAAATGCTATAAAGAAAATACAACATTTTTTATATTAAAAAATAATAGCAAACCTTTTAACAACAAAATCAAATAAAAGTGTTGTTAGCGGAATAAAAACAAATCCAAGCCAAAAATTTGGGCTTGTAATCATTATTTGATACATACCTTTCATGTCTGAATTGATAGGTATTAAAGGCCAAATCTTAAAAAAATAATTTATTTTAAACAAATTTTATTAAAAACCATTGAATAGAAGGCAAGAAATACAAACCAAGAAATGATTGAGCCAACACATAAAACTATTATTATAAAATTAATTGAATCACATTCTATGAGAGCCTTTAAGCAAACAGTAGTGACAACATACTAGAAAATAAAATTGTTAAAATATTTTTTGTAAAAATATACAGAATAAAGTGAATTTCCAAACATTAACCATCCACCAATTCTTCCTGATGACCAAAGGATAGCATCACCATAAAATCCATAATTAAAGAAAAACAATAAAAGTGAGTGCCACAAAGACAAAGAAACCCATAGCACAAATCTCTAAATTTTTAATTAAATTAGAAAAGAGTTGAAAATTTACATAATTGGAAAAGGCCATTTTTTGAAAGCTTTGATAAAGTCTTGGATGCTTTAAGATAAGTTTTTGTGAAATTGGCCGGTCAAAAAGCCCAAGAATGATTGGAGGCCAAGCAGTAAAGAACATATTGAATGAAGCAATCGACCAGCGTTCAAAAATTGTAACACCAGAAAATGCTGAGAAAAAGGCAAACCACAATTCAATTATGTAAAGACAAATATTTTTGTAGAAACTATATAGAATAACTTTAACAGTTCTTTCGTAGTTCCAAGTACCTAAATAATTATATAAAATTTTTAAAAAAATTCTGTTTCACCATGAATGAGAATAAGACGTGTTAGATATTGAAATTGTGCAATTGAATAATCACTTGCAGAAGCAGCCTAAATTTAAAAACAAATAATAGTAAATTAATGTAAAATATTTAAATAACCTGTAAACCTTCCACACCAGTTATTCCAACTCCAACATTAGCAATTCGAATCATTGCTACATCATTTGCACCATCACCTACGGCTAAAACAGATCCTTTAAGCATTTTAACTATATGAACAATTTCAGCTTTCTATAAAAAATTTAAAAGAATTAAAAAAAATCATTTATTAACCTGAATTGGTGTCATTCTACAACAAATAACCGCTTGACATTTACCAATTAATTCAGAGAAGAAGGGTCGGGCTTCGCCAATAAATGCATGATGTAAACTCCCACCATCAATAACTAAAGCAAATTCGGTTCCAGATTCAATATATTGGTTAGCCTTTTTAGAAAAATTTAAATATATATTTAATATTTTTTTAGAAAACCGAATTAATAAAAAATTTAAGTTTGGCCAAAACTGCTTCGAATGATTTTTCAACAATTTTCATTAATTTTGTATCTTTTGAAGTTATCGAAGAAGAATGGGAGATTTGAATAGCTGTTTCCAATTTGTCCCCAGTAAGCATCCAAATAAAAATACCAGCACTTAACAATGTTCGAATAGTTAATGGAACATTCTAGATAAAGAAATTTTGTTAAAAAGATAAAATTATTTCTTGAATTTATCACATATTTTTTATTTAATTTACCTCTTGTAATTTATCTTCAATAGCAGAAACTCCAATTAATCGCAAATTACATTCAACTTTCTCTGAAACTGCTGCCAATTTTTCTTCTCTTTTTTCCAATGATGTTGAAGATAATTTAAAATCCTCTATCCAATTTAAATAAAATTCTGGCTCAAGCTCTCTCATTCCAAAACAAAGGGTTCGATATCCTAAAATAAAAAAATCCAAATATTTTTAAGTAGTTACCTTTTTGAGCATAATCATTTAATGCCTGAGTAGCACTTTCCAAAGAATGGACTGAATTTAGTTCAGAAGAAAGACGATCAAATATAATATTATCCTATAGAAAAATTTAAATAAAAATTTAAAAATTTTTATTTACAGCTCCTATGCAGTAAAGTTTAATTTTGTTGTTTTTATCTTTCAGAATTACACTCATCCTCTTTCGATCACTTGTAAATTCTAAAACATTTAATAAATCAAAAGATTCCAATCCATAAGGCTAAAGAAAAATAATAATTTTTTTAAAATAACCGATATTACCGTCTGAACAAAAATTTCTGTTGGTCTACGCTCATTAAATATAAAAGAATTATTTGCTGCCATTCGAACAAGAGCACCTTCATCAGGCGAAGTTGCTTGAAAATTAATTTCGCCATTCTCCTTATGTTCAGGGACAACTGAAAAAAAATTTAAAAATAATTTTTAATTTAAAAAACCTGTATGACAACAAGCTAACATCAACATAAATTCATATATTAACTCGGAATTTTCCTTAATTTTTTTAAATTAAAAGTAAATTTTCAAATTAAAAATACCTTTCCGTCAGACAAATCCTTTAAAAGATTACCATCAGAAAATTCATCCTAAAAAATAATCAAAAAATATTAAAAACAAAAGGTTTAAAAAACATGATTATCGTCCCCATAATCTATTCCGTCAATTTGACATCTTTTAAATTTCATAACATTTCTTGTCAACGTTCCAGTTTTATCTAAAATATTCTTAAATTAAAAGAAATTCTAAAAACCATACCAGTCATTAAATATTTAATTTGGCCTAATTCCTCATTTAAATTAGAAGTTCTAGCATTAGCAGGGATGTCAACATTTTCATCATACATCTTTAAATCCTAAAATTCTTTTTATTTATTTTTATTTAAAAATTATTTAAAAAACCTGATTAATATATCCAGCTTGGAAAAATCGTACAACTTCTAAAGTAACTTGAAGACTAATTGGAATAATATTATTGTAAAGTATAAAAAATGTAAGAGCATTCCAAAGGAAAGACCAACGTTCAAACATATTAATATAAAAACTCTTGCCCAAAATCCAATTAAAAAATTCCGAACCAATAACACTTTAAATTTAAATAAAGTCCAATAAAAAAATAATTATATATTAACCTCACAACAGTAATCATAATTAACAAGAAAAAAAGAAACAGAATCCTTTGATTTGTTAGAACATCGATGCCTGACCTAAAAAAGAAATAATTATTATTTACAAAAATCTAGTAAATCAAACGTTTTTATGGGAGCTGCTGCTGAATTCATTAAAAGACGAGATTCATGGCCTGTATAAACAACAACTCCACAAACCCATTTACAGTTTTTAAGTTTAGCTCCTCGCAATAAAAATTGAGTAATATCTTTGAAAAATAATTTAATTGAAAGAATTAATTTAAAAACAACAAACTTAGAGGTAATCGATCATTGCCAAAATGTAATGTCCCAATAAATTCATTAACTTTTCGATTTGGATGTTCACATTCTAATTCCAAATTTAGATGATTCATTCGTTCAAAATCGAGCAAAGAAGTTTCCGGCTTTGCCTAAAAATAAAAATTAAAGACTGGCAAAATATCAAAAAAAGATAAAAAAAAAGGTAAAGAAAACATAGAAAATATACAAGAAATTAAATTAAAAAATTAAAAACCTGTCTAATTTTTAGATTAGTTTCACCATCCAATTGTGCAGTTTCAATATAAGCTACAATGCTAAACATTTTTTATTTAAATTAAAATTTACCCATTCCCAAAGGTTCACTCGAAGACAAAATAACAATATCGGCAGGAAACGGCCTTCCTTCATAAACCTTTACTATTTGTCCAACTTTTAACTATAAAAAATAAAAATTTAAAAAATTAAATAAATTAAAAACCTGTTTCCATCTACAAATTTGGAAAGTATTCCCAATAAGTGTTTGAATTCGATAATTATTTACTTCAATATCCATTCTATGCCTTTTCTTTAAAAAAATAAAATTTAAATAAAAAATTAAAATAATTTTTTTACAATATCTTCAAAAATCTCTTTAATAGCAGAAATTGAAAGAATCATTAAAAAAGGTATTCCTGTTGTATATTTACCTTTAGAAAAATTTAAATAAAAATTAAAATAGTATATAATTGTTAATTAACCTGTCGGACTAACTTCCGGAATTTGTTGTAGGATAGCAATACAAAGAAAGAAAATATTTGAATAACGATGAAATTGTTCAAAAAGAAAAAGTGGAAGAAAAGTAAGAATATTATATTTGCATGTTCTAAATAAACAGAAATTTAAATTTATTTATTCGAATTTAAAAAAGAACCTAATTTTATTTCCACAATATTTTTGACGTTGATGTTCAGAATTAACAACAATAATTCTTGGTATTTGTGGCTGTGCAGAATGTGAAGATATTGACGATCCTAATGAATTAGCTCCATTAATTGGAGAATAAGAGAGAATAGTTGAACGAATCCAATCCATTATAAAAAAGTTTTTTATCTAAATTAATAAAATATTTGAAACAGTTTAATATAAAATTTCAAAAATTCTAAATGTGAATTTAGAGAAAAGGGCCTCTACGGGAATATAATAATTGCGAATAAATTAGTATGTACACATAAATTTACAAGAGTTTTTTCAGCATCAAAACAAAAATCATTACTGTTAGGGTCGGCTGGCACTACAACTGCCACCCTGAAACAGGCTGTCACTTCAATATTTTTTTAAATTTTATATCCACAATTGTCACATCCGGAACTGTCGCAGTTGTAGTTCGGTATTGTCGCAATAGCAAGTGTCGTGACACCTTTCCGATATCACATAAGGAAATTGGACACCACAGTCACGCTGTCAGTACCGTGGGACAAGTAAAATTCAGGATAATAATTTTAGTAATTTTAATACGCACGCCATTAATGATAAAAATGAAATTAAAGATAGAAAAACATTAAATAAAAGTACAATAATAAGTAGATCTTTCTTTCTACATTAACTAAGAAATGGTGACACGACTTGGGCACAGTGATCCATTTGCACAGTAAGACTTTTGCACAGAGGACAATTACACAGTGGACAATTGCACAGTAAAGTCTTGTTTATTCGCAAAACGACCTACCCATTTATTCGCAAAAAGCCTGTTTAGTCGCGAAACACTCCAAATAAACGCAAGGCTCATTCACTTATAGGTAGTGAACGACATATCTACGTTTTCGTCGATTCGCGGCGAATAACTACTTTTATTCGCGAACGACTTTTTTTTAATACAAAACGCCAGAACTACGTAAATATCGATGTTTTGCGCCAAACGATTGCGAAACGACTTTTTTGTGTCTCTTTTTCTCTAATTTCACATTATATTTCCTTTCTCTTTTTCTATTAATTTTCGTTCAGTGCAGTCTCTCAATTTGTAAGGAGGTTTTTTGTAAATTAAATTTCATTTTTTTTATTTTTAGGGGTTACAAGAGTTTAAGCTGTAGAATTAATGCCTGTCTCATTAGCCTCCTAGTACAACATTTGGAAGTCTTATTGTTAATGGTAGTAGTGAATTTTCAGAAGCAAACACTTACCATCAACGACATTTGGAGCAGCAACCATTATCAGGTTATTTTGTTTTTCGGTGCATTATAATTTGTGGGTAAATTACTTTCCGGGTTAAATTACACTTCCCGAACCGAATTTCGCACCCTGAAACTTGAATGAGCTATCGTTTGTATAAACTTTTTTACTCCAAAAAACCGCCCCTAAGGTTTCTCAATATTCAGTGATCTGTATCCGAATATTGAGAAATCTGAATATTGGTCAGATTTCATTGATCCTAGAATTAGTTGCTAAATTTTTTTCATTCCTAAATTTTTTCTTTTTTATGTTTAATCAAAACTTGTTTGATGTGTGTCGAACTCCATCCTACGGCTGCAACAATGGGGAAACAATAGGAGAGGTTGTTTTTTAAATCTTATTTTTTTGGAATTTTTTAAAATTTTTTCAATTTTTTAATTCATTTTTCTAAGTGTTACAACGACGTGCTCGGGCGATTTGCTGTTGAAGTGATTCTGCCTGGCAACCTTTGAATTGCAGTCTTAGATGGACAACAAACACAAACAACACAACCCAAACGGCCCTCTTTAGGGCCACAAATCTAATGAGTGAAACGAGACATTGGCTTTTAGTTTTTTTGATAAATTTTTGTTTATTTGTTTCGTTTTTTTATTGAAATTTTGTTTTTAACTTCCCCCTATGCCCGAAAAAGCCCAAGAAAAGCCTAGAGTCAAGATTCGACTACATTTGAAAATGTTCTTTAGAAAATGTTCAACAGAATCTTCGCTGGAAAATCTGTGGGAATATACTAAAGCGACCCCAAATCAAGTAGATGATAATTTTTTTATCAATTCTTCGTTTTTTTCTATTGTTTTCTTTTAATTATTCAAAACATACAAAATTGGTATGTTTTGTAAGTTTGATGTTTCATTCGATGGAGCTTTTCGAGCTGTTTCGAATGGTGCCAAAAATAATTCGAACAGACAAAAATAAAGGAAGTTATGGCCCTACAAAGTTTTTGGATTCCAAGAAAAATGGACTGCACAAAACAAGAGAGACGAAAATTAATAGAAAAAGAGAAAGGAAATATAATGTGAAATTAGAGAAAAAGAGATACAAAAAAGTCGTTTCGCAATCGTTTGGCGTAAAACATCGATATTTACGTAGTTCTGGCGTTTTGTTTATTAAAAAAAGTCGTTCGCGAATAATTGTAGATTTTTTTAAAACGACTTTTTTTCCTTAAGAAAAAGTCGATATGTCGTTCACTACTTATAGGTCATAACTTCGTTCAGAATCATCCAATCAAGATGATTTTGGTGTCAGCCGACTCAACTCAAAAAGCTCTTTCGAATGAGCTATAATTTGCATCTTCGAATTTTTTACCCCAAAAAACCGCTTGGTTTACTCTATTGTTTTTCGATTTTCGGGAGCCTATATCTCTGCGAGTTTTCGTCTCCCGCGAACAACTTTTCCAACAACGGGAAAAATTGCTTATAGAACAGGGAAAATTGTTTTTGTTTAAGAAAAACCATTTTATTATTAAAAAACTTATCAGAAAGTCTAACACAAATGCACTTAACCACAAATTACTGTGCAATTGTCCACTGTGCAGATGCCCAATGTGCAATTGTCTTACTGTGCAAATGTATCACTGTGCCCGTGTCGGAGCGCCCTAAGAAATTGCTCTTTTTCTTAATAAATTTCTCTCTAATTTCTTCAGTTACCCTTTATTTAAAAAATTGAACAAATTAGAAGTAAGTTTTATATAAATATTTATTAGACTGCTACACTGATAATGAATGAATGATTCATTTATGTATTTTTTGTCTTTAAATTAAATAAAAATTTAATAAATGAAGTTTTATCATTTAATGTTACAATATCTTTCATTATTCTACCGAATATTTTAGAGTTACCGGTAGATTATCGCTTTTAAGAAACTTAAAAAATTTCATAAATTTAATCGAATTCCACAGCCAATAATCGACTTTTCGATTATTGATTAATGCCACATACAATTGGCATGATCAGGCAATTCTTTAATATTAATGAATTCATTTATCGTCAATGTTTGACCAGAAAGAGGAGGAAGAATTGAAAGAACTTCAAGAGTTTAAGGAGGAAGAGAAGAAGGATGTTGTTGAAGAAAATCGAGAAGAGGAAGAACAAGAAGTTGAGGAAGAGGAAAAAGAAGAAGATGATGATTACTCTTCAATTTCTCTATTCCAAATTATTATAATAGCTTTAGCTCTCTTCTTGGCTACAAATGGCCCTACTAACTATTCTCTTCTTTGGAATCAATTGACTAATCCTCCTGTTGATTCTCGTCATGCAATTAGAAATGGCAATAGTGGAGCTATTCCAGTTAGTCCACATACTATCTTAATACCTATTCAAACAGTCCAAATGAGAGAATATGCTCTTGGAGTGCAACAATCATTAGAGACTAACGTAGCTAATGCGGAGAATAGAATTGCATTGGTAAACAGAATGTTTGGGGATTTGGCATTGGATGATAAAAAGTCTGGTGAGGTAAATAATTGGGAATATTTATGTATTTAATTTATTCCTTTAATATTTAGATGGCAGAATTACTTGTTGGAATGAATATGACCAACGTAAAGAATTACTTCCTTCAGTTGCAAGATTTTTCCCTTAAAAATTTTCGGAATGAAGTTGGTGGCAAAGAATTACATGAAAAGATTATGGAACGCTGGATTAAATTTGTCGATAACATTATACACATCCATAAACAATTGTAAATTTAACTAATGTATTATATATTTCGAAATTTCCGAGTAAAAATGTTAGTTATGTATTAGTTAAGGTGTAATTAAAATAGAAAAAAATCATTAAAGAATACATATTTAACGCTTAATTCAAATTTGAGAAAAGTTGGAGACTGTAACCGTAATAAAATTTATTTTTTAGACTTCAGCCTTATAATCTATCGATATTTATTCAAGAAAAATTTTATAAATAAATAATAGTTCTTTAAATACAATAATTAAATATACAATAAAACTACTTTTCAAAACTCTAACTGGTAAAACAGATAAGAATTCTATTATTTGTGGTGATTTTAATTTTTCCAATAAGGACGTTATATGGACAAATTCTATCCCTTTAGCTAAATCCCCAACTGGGGAACTTTTTGTCACATTTTTCAATAAAAACTGTCTTAAATTACACACTACT